TTCCTTCCTTCCTTCCTTCCTTCCTTCCTTCCTTCCTTCCTTCCTTCCTTCCTTCCTTCCTTCCTTCCTTCCTCTCCCTCCCTCTTTCCTCAAAACTTTTTAAGCTAAAATCAAGCAAGTAGCACTTTCAGTCAGAGTCCAGCGGAAACTTTTAGATACTGTTCTGGTGGGAATAAAAATAAACTCTTATTCTCTTTCTCAGTTCATATGTAGAATAAATTGTAATGATCCCATCATCTGCTGTGCAGAAAGCCGTAAGGACAACTTCTCTTTGGTGCTGTCTTCAGTTACAGAACTGTTCTGACAGTGGCGAGTGAGTGTTACAGGTGGTGGGTGGGGGTTCCTTCCGAAATTTTATATAACTCCAATATTATCTGTTCCTGTGATTGACTTGACACATGAATTCAAAACAGTTGGAGCTTCTCTCCCACTCTGGTGTAGCAAACTGGATGTGAAAATGACACTTCCCCCTGGGAGCTGATAGTTTGCTGTTCCATGCATGGTGTTGGGTTCCTTTGTTCGCTGAATGTGGCACTTGGCAAGTGGTTTTTGCCACTTCAGGGTTGTCAGTTCTGTCTGCGAGAGGCCAAGATAAAGCTTCGCAAAAAACCTTTCACTCCAAACAAATCTTCTCTGTAATGCACTGACTCGATGACAAAGGAACAAGGAGCTTAGGGGTGGTTTGGATTTCTTTCCACCCCAACGTGTGCACTCTTCCCTTGTCATGCTTTTATTTTAATGTGGTATTTCCTACCCCGCTGTAAACACCGGGGTGGTTTTTGTCTTGTGACTCGGCAGCGCTTTGCCACGACATTCCTTTCACAAGGCGCTGCTGATAGCGCTGGATGTGCTGCTGCTGCTTCCAAGGTTTATCAGAGRTTTGTACCAGGAGCAATTCCATAATCCCGGGAGGGGCAGGAGACCTGTGTCAAGCACTGTTGTGATCCATTTGTGACCAAGAGGATAAAATAGATGAAAACACGCCGGTGCAGCTCTGGAGAGTTGCACACAGCAGGGTGAGGAATGTCCTGGTCCGTGCTGGGACTGTTCATCTGTGCAGTGACCCCAGTTATTCACGGGCAGCACAATGCCAGGGGTGCAGGGCTTGGCAGCAGCTCCTCAACTGAGCCATGGACATGGGGCATGGCAAACACAGGCAACAGAAATGGGAGAAGAGTTCATGCCAGTCAAGCTTGCTTGGCTTTGATTTGACTYGGAGAAAACAGATCAAATTTACCATAGGGTTCACAAAGGAGCCTGAATGCTGAAACCCTCAGCAGCCATGACTTGATCCATCTTAGTGGAATTAGCTTTGCCTGTTGATGTGAAGCTTCATTTTTCATTGGTTTTCTCCTGTTGTATTATTCCTTACACATCAGCAACATAAGGATTCAGGCAKGGATTCGGAATTACTGTGCTCTCAAATTGTATGCAAATGCTCTGACTGAAGTAATAAGTTGATATTTTGGCTTGTTTTTAATGGCCCCTGTAACAAAGAATACAAATCACAAAGCACCCGAAGGTGCTGGATCCTCTTCTGTGCACCAGGATTTTTCCATGCAGTTTGGCAGTTGTCTGAATGYTCAGCTCCTAATGGGGGAGTGGGGTGATACATTTATAGGGACAAGGAAAAAGCCATAATTCCTGGTCAGACAGGACTGAAAGGAACCTTTTCTACTGAAAGGACCTCTCCCGTGTATTGTGACAGGACTGTCACAACCTCCAGCTGCCAGAACAACCTCTAGGGCAGTGGGATAACTATCTAAATRTAGGGAGACAGCAGTAGCAGGCAACGAATCTGCAAAATTGGAGATGAAGTACATGCAGTCCAACTGCAGAGCCAATTATAATCAATGTAGGTTGTTTTAGGGACTTTGCAGAAACCAGGATTTGACTTCACAAGATGAAATGAGAAATTTAACAGGGATGAAGAAAGGCGTTACCACGCTATTCATAACACTCCTTGTTAGAGGCTGCCAGCTTCTTCCTGCATAAACCGAAGGGAGCTACAGGTGATGGAAAAATAAATTGGTCCCTGTGGGCACAGTGATTTTGACTGTACATGTGTATTAGAGATGAGGTCGATGTGCTATGAACTGCAGGTGAAATGGCAGCAGTGGTACCTGGAAACGTGGTATTTGTCAGAAATGCCAGAGAGCTGCTCAGAGATGGTCAGAGAATCATTTTATTCAGGCTGAGGCTAAAATAAACCTTTCCAAGAACATAGAAATTGCTTTTTGGAAGAGTAAATGGCAGATTGTGTGAATCTCCCTGAATTCTCTGTCCTCTTCTCACAGTTGTACCTTGCAATGGGGGGCTTGTGGGAGCTGCAGGAGAACATTGTGGTACAATGAAAACTTGGATGCAGTTTCCTGCAGATCAAGCCAGCTCCTCATTGCTGGCTCGTCTCCTTGTGCACACTTTTGAAGTGCTGGGTTGTAGATGGTCCTGAAAAATGTCTGCAGCTTTTATCCCCCCTCCCCACCCAGGTTTGGCTTCAGTCTGAGGTGCAGTTATGTGGGCAGGGAGAAAATGTTCTCTAAATGAATCCATCATAAACATAGTGCCTGTCCTGTAATGGTTGGGATTGGAGAATAACAAACTAACAAACCAAAGTCTTTTATTTCTTTCCTTCTTGTAGATCACRTGCTGAAGATTTCTGAGAAGTGCCTTTGTCTCCCAGCCCTGAGCTCGAAGCAGAGATCACCTCACAGCTTGCTTWAGTCAGGGCTGCTGAAGGAGAAACATTTCCTGGGTTTGCCTGGACACTCAGAGCCAGGGTAGCTTTTGATTCTTAACTGGGCAGGTCCAAAGTTTTCAGTAGTTTTTTCATGTCTAGAATAGGAATATCTAGACCAGGATGCTTCTMAGCACCCCACCGAAGCTCTCTGGTCTCATTAACAGGGCTCTACACCCCCAAATTAATTACTCTGCAATGTGCTGCTGTTCCATTCATGAGATCCGTGGTTGTGTTGAATTTTGGCAGTACCAGACTCTTTTTCCACTGCCTTTGAWCTCCTGTCTGGCTTTCCCCAATCTTTCTAGAACCATCTACTTATCTTGCTGGCCAAAAGCTTTTCTGACCCTAAGGAGCTGACACATTCCCTTCAAGTTGCACAGCTCACCCATCTTCCCTCATTCTCTTTTTCCTCTCACCATGTTTGCTCTGCACAAATTGCTCCCAGAATGGAGCAGTTTTGCATAGATTTTGCATAGAGGAGAGATCACATAGGACAAATCTACCAAGCCATTGCTTCTCCCTCAAGTTGCTCCTTTTGCTATCACTTTTCTCCCCAGGCTCTATTGCCCAAATTCTCCCTGGCCTCCACAGACTGAGGACAGAGAGAGCAGGAAAATGTTGCCTAAGATTAATTCTTCTCTCCAGCCTCTTTCTCMTATCTCCACATTTTTTTCTGTCTGAATTCTTGCCCTTGGGGACAAAGAGKTTTTTTTTTATACTGTGCAGATAATATGATGGTGGAATACAACATTTGGTGAGTGGATCACCTGTAACCTCATCTTCACTGCTCCTTTTCTTATGCTTACATCTTGAATTTGAGGTTTGGATTTGCACATTTTCCTGCAGCACAGCCACTCTGGTACAAAGCCTTGGCTTYATTGTATGTAACAGGTCCTAGAAAGTTGCTTAGATCTTTATTTCTTGGCACAAATAATGTGGCAGGAGCATTTTCAATRCTGCCCTCATAATGAAGGGAGAACTTTTCACTGGAAGTCTGCAATCATTTTTAGAAAAGAATTTGGAGCAATAAGAGTGAGTGACAGTTCTCCCCTCAAACCTTTTCTATTAACTGACAGAAAGGATGCCATTTGCTTCCTTTGCAAATAAAATGAACGAAATAGAGCGAATGATACCTGAAAATGCCACATAAAAAGTGGTAGTAAAAGGCAGCTCTCGTATCTGTTGAGAAAGGACATCATTGTTCTTATTCAGTCTCAGCCATGATGAGAATCTCACCTTCCAGACCTGACTACACAACAGGCTATTTTGAGGAGACAGTCTCTAGACATTGCCTGGCTGTACAAGGCTTTTAAAAAATATATATTAAATGTAGGCAAAAGGATTACATTCCAAAAAAATCGGGCATGTAAATGAAAGCTCCTCAAATCKTTGAAAAATCTTCTTTAATATTATATAATAAGAAATACATAACTGTGCCTATTTTTACAGTAATTTTCTTTCATTTGATGACATTCAATAGTAAGATTTATTATTACCCGCATGGAAAATATCCTGCCTGGGGGTGGTTGAAATAGATCTTGCAGACAAGTCATCAATCAGCTCATGTTTATCTCTTCAGAGATCAGCGATATCAGTGGCAGGAACAATTCCAACCAATTCAAGAGTATTTACTGATAATAAAAGGAAATGTTCATGTGGCTTTATGCTGCTTCTCTCGCCAGAGGTCACAGGGCATTTTTTGCAGGAGGGCTGATTTATTGAGGTTCATTTGGAGATGGGGCAGGGAGAGCTCTGACACCTCTGTGGCCATTGCTCCCTCTCTGCAGGAAAGTCTGACTTCCCTTGCAGAGGGCTCGAAGATAACACTGCTCCTCCCTGTCCCCACTGCTAATGAGTTCAGCTAAAAGGATTTAAGACTGATGCAGACAAAAAGATCTTTTACATCAGCTGAATTGCATGCAAAATTATTGTCTTACGTTTCCAAGGAGTGAATTGTAGCTTCTAACTGAACTCTGCTATAATTCTAAAGCAGAAGGTCTTGTATTTGTGTTCCTGATAGAGGGGTTTTTCAGAATTTTATGACARCATTCAGAATATTTATAGGTATTAGCTGCAGGGTTCAGGACAAAGATCTGTTGTCCTTGAGGCAAAATAACAACCCTGACTTTACCTAGTGTTTGCCTCTTGGTGTAATCAGTCTGGAACTAACACYGCAATTGTTACCTAACCTGTGTATGACACAAGGATTTTTTTCCTCTCACTTTTGCTTTTTTTTCTTTGTAAAATTCAGTATTTATACTTAGTGAGACAAAGAGCACTTTGAATCACAACRTGAAGTGTATGGTTTTAAAAAAGTTATAAAGGGGTCTTTTTATTTGTTTAATTTCTATGTTTTTGTCTAAGGAAATTTACTGGAACATTCATTTCTGTTTGAGAGGAAACTTGCTCTATGTGGACAATAAAGATGTTAAGATCAGGATGAATGTCTATGGGAGATAATAATAATGAATGAAAAAATGCATCAGTCCAGCACTCATATTTTCCAGGAACTGCAAGAACTCAGTTCTGGGTTGTGTTTTAAATCTGAGCCCCATTGTTCCTGACTGGGTTGCGAGTCTGTTGGAAAGACTTCTCTTTGTTCCTCCGAGCTGCTCCGATCTGAAGCATTTGGASCAGTTCCATATTTGAAGCGAGATTTTTAAGCTGAACATGTATTTTCATTCTTCCAGCTTTAGAGTGGAAAGCGAAGCATCTTGCCCCTGTTTCCTGCTGGACATGAGCAGGGCACACTGACCCTGGCTGCAGTAATTTGACCTTTGCTGAGCCGGCCAGGGGACACCAGCGGTTATCAGTGGTACGTGAGAGGTGCCAGGAGCACATTGCTGCCCTGCTGCAGGGAACATGCCTTGTGAGGCAGCACAGCCAGCCTGTGCTCGGCCCTGACGTGATTTSTCCTCCCCACAGATACAAAGGTGGCTGAGAACATTTTTGATGCTGTGGCACTTGGTGGCATTAATCAAACGCGTGCGGTGTCAGGGCCAGGACTGAGTTGTGCCCTTTTGCAGGTGAATGCCCCAGCCTGGTGGCACAGAGGTGTCTTTCCTCCTCTCATTTTGTTCTCAGTCGATACAGAATTTTGTTCATGACTGGTACTTGAGCTGTGAAGCTCTGAGGGTGACCTGCCCTTGCACACTCTGGCATTTGCCCTGSTTGTGTGCAGCACGAGCCTGGGGAGCTGCTTCCCGCTCGCAGGCAGGATTTGTTACTGGCTAAAGTTACTCTCCTTGTAAGATAAGTTATTTGGAAATGCAGCCTCTCACCCTTTTAACGCCCACCAGTTAAACTTCTTCCCTTTCAAAATGCCCACATAAGGTTTCCTGACCCAGCCCAGCACCCACCTCGTGTCCCTGTGGCTGTGCTTGCTCTCCAGTGTCACATCATGTGTGAAACAAGAACTCCAAGAGCTCTGCATTCCTGTGTCACCCTGCATTTGTAAGCCCGACCCTGCTATTGACAGATGGCTGGTCTGTGAGACGGCTCTGACAATACAACCTGGCAAATATTAGCCTGGAAAACACTCAGGAGCTCGTGGCCATCAGCAAACCTGGGGTCCCCGAGAGGTCGATGTTGGTGTGCGGGTGAAGCCATCCAGCAGCATCGTGTTGGAGCTGCACGGAGCGTGAACTCCTGAGAGGGGACTTGGCACTGSTTTGTGCTCAAGGGCAATTGTTGGAGCAGCTTGTGAGCAGGCAGCTCGCCAGAGAGACAGGGCATGGCTGTGGACAGCTCACAGAATATGTGTGTGTGGGGCAGGCAGGATGCACAGCTGGGAAACGGGAAAGGGATTTCTGTAAACTTCTGCTCCGAGGGGGAAGAGCACATTCAGGCGATGCCAATCCGTGGAGGAGGAAAGAAATGATTTCTGGCAGCTAAGACAGGTTTTGGGTCTGGCTAAATCTGACAGAATGCTGTGGGGGAGAACTGGAGATGTCATGGTTAATGAGTATGGAAATTATATCAGTAGCTTGGCCATCTAGGTTTTAAATGTTGTCAATCTATAACATGCAATACTTCAGTGTAACATTTTCTGGCTGCCTAGTTTAAGGCATAAAGACAGGCAGCCTCTCAGTAATGAGTCAGTATCTATAGAGAGCAAGCTGTTGATAGCAAAGCAGAAATCTTGGCTTCTTATCTCAGCAAGTTTAAATTAATCAAAAAAGATGGTGGGCAGGAGAAGAAGAGGGGTTGTTTTCTTTTGTTTTCACATTTTTGACACACCTGACAAACTGAATTCCCCGTGATTTTTCTGCCTCCCTGCTTGGCCCACGGGAACATGAATTCCTCTCTGCTCTCCATGCACTCCAGGGTGCAGTGACCCTTTTGCCCAGCTCATCCTGGAGTGCACTTAGACTCTGCACCACCAATGCTGGGATAAGGCAAAACCTGTTTACTGTAAACACACTCTCCCCAGCACTTCAGTCCAGCGAGGGATAATTACCCAAACTCCCGGACAAAGGTGTTGTGTATCTCTTTACTGGTGGATGGAAAGGATCCTCTTCAAGTCTAATGAGTCTGTGGCTCTTGCAGACATCCAAGTGGGCCTTGCTGTCTCCAGAAGAGACAGAAAGTAACTCTGGGAAGGCAGAGTGTGGAATCTGACACTACTGTGTAATTGAGGAAAAAGAGCTAKATGCATTATTTATGAGCAGAAGGCTGGGCTTAATGTTAACAAGTGAGAAGAAAGTGGCTTCAAAACACTGGCTTTCTGCTCTTCCCTGTACGAAAGGCTTCTGATTTAAATTGCTTGCATTTGAGAGCAGGAGGGGAGACAGGGCTGTTATTTATACCGAGCCTTATTCCGTGTGTGTGGAGCTGTACAAGATTGAGGGAGAGGCAGGGATTGCCCCGAGGAGAGCAGCCTCTGTGGCCAGGATGTGTCATACATGCTGCCCTGTAATGAGCTAATCCCGAGCTGCTGCAGGCAAAAGATTTCACTGCAAGACAGAAGCAAGCAGAATTGCTACTCTTTTGGCATTTCCATTGGGCAGGGATGGTTTTTAGAAGCTGAGGAATTTTCTCCGACTCACTCTATCCACCCCATGCCCTCCCTGTGCAACCACTGCCCGCTTTTGGGGTTGGATGAGTTGATTTTGTAGCTTTTGTCCTCGTACGGGTCCCCCAACAGCAGGGTCTCAAAAATCAACTCATCCAACACCTTGYTGGGTGTTGTGGTAGGAGCTGGAACCATCATGACCCACCCTGCTCAGGCTGTCATGAAGTCTCACTGTAAAGTCACACAAATGTSCTGGGGCTTTTGGGTTTTAGCTGTTTTCTGGTTATTTTCTAAATAAACCAAGCCTGGCTGGCTAATGAAGTTTTGCCCTTCATGATGACAACGTGTGATTATTATCAGCAAATGATATTATGTTCCAAAGAGTGCGGGATGCTGAGCTGCYCTTTTTCCTAGGAAAGCACAGCGTGGGCTGAGGCAGGGCAGGTCCCTCCCTGTGGAGAGATCACCTTCATCRCTGAGCAAATGATCACCTTCATCACTGAGCAAATSATCACCTTCATCACTGSCTGCRTGGCAGTCACACCCGGAGGCAGGAGCAGGAGCTTGAACTCTCCTGGACCTTTGTCCAGCTCAGCAAATCCATTGAGGACCCCACCACAAAGGGGTGAAGACTCTTCTTCCTACTCCACCCAGCAGATGGACACGACATTTGCTGCTGGTGGCTGCTGCTTGGTTTGGAGTCCATGCTTGGCATGTTTGTGCTGCAAATCTGGCACCAGGCATTAGMCCAAAAGCTTGTATTTGCAGAAGTTCCATGCTTTTATTTTCTGCAGGTCCTAAAAGATAAAAGAACCCCTCACTTTCTTCCCTTTTTAAAGGTCACTGGCTTCTCCCATCCCCATTTCTGCAGTASAGCCCATGTCCTTTCCATGGTGTAAAATCCTGACTCCTTCCTGCTGTGATCCCAAGCAGCAAGCACTTTGTTTCTGGGAGGAAAATTAGCTCCGTGGGGTAAGAGGAGAATAACTAGGCCTCTGTAAAAGTCAGGAAGCAAGAAGTGAGCAGCATTGCACTGGAACTGATGGGGGAAAAGCACTCTGTTCCTTGATTTCTAACACTGGCTCATTGATTCTCCTCTTGGTTCAATCAGCAGTTACTGCTTCTCCTTAATCCAGGTTCATAACTTCTTAGTGGAGCGGGTTCTTAAACAGAAATACCCCTGAGAAATCAGAACAACAGACAGGAGGGGAAGCTGAACACTGGGATCTTACCTGCATCCCCGAATGATGGAGTGGAGCAGGGAATTGCTGTTTTTAATGGGCTTCCCTTTGCAGCCAGGTTTGTGTGCATGTCCAGCGGGGCCAGCAGACCTCGAGCTGAGTGGGAAAACCTTTTTCTAAGGAGTACTGCTAAGTTTTCCCTGTCCCCAGGCTTCTCACAGCAAAGAAGGTACCGCCGGGAAGGGCTGATGAATAAAGATGATTTCTGTAAAGGTGGGATTGGAACRGGAGAGGCTGGAGGTGAGGCACAGCGCTGGGGAGGAGGGAGGCAGCCCGAGTGGGGACTGGTGAGTCATGCATCCTCCAGCAAGCACTGACTCACTGCCAACATGAGCGCTCTGCTGTTCCCTTCCTGCTAAGGCTGAGGAACAGGCAGTCGGCACAACTTGGTTCTGCARGCTCCCGGGTTAGAGAGTGAGCTGTGGAAGGGAGGGAGCAGAGCCCGWGGAGCGCTGCAGAGGAGCAGGGTGAGCCCTGGAGCACAGCCTGCAGCTGATATTGCTGCTCTGTGAGGCTCCCTGCAGCAGCTGCAGGGAACAATTCCCGCTGCAGGGGTTGGATGTGGAACAGTGGCCCAGCTCCTACAGCCAGGATGGGCATTGGACTCTCCACYACCCATTTGTGTTCTCTTTGCTGCAGGGACAAGGCTCAGGTGCTGTCAGCACTGCTGCTCCAAGGAGCCTCACAAACTC